GAAAAGCACTACATCAGGGAAGACTATCATAAAGAGAATCTGTACTTGCTTTGTCTAGGCTTGAATTTCATTTCTGAAACATCCATTTCCATCATCAAGAATGAAGCAATGTTTCAAAAGTCAGATGTTGTTGAAAGACCTTTGCGGTTATGCTTATTGTTGCTACAGTTCTTTTCCTTTTTTGCAAATTGTGACCTTGCCTCAGAAATATATACATGGATATAACAGATTTAACATATATTTTTAAATTGGAAGGAGCAAATGCATAAAGTAGAAAAGCAAATGCTTATTTTTCATCCTTACTTCAAGGATAATAAAGTAACTTTCACCTTTCACTTTGTTTTCGTAAACAGTGGAACAAGTTGACCCGAGATGGAGCAATAGTGGTAGACAGAAAGCTAACTTCTCTTTATGCACATTGGATGATTCACTTCTGAACTCTTGCAAGCCAAGCGGTTACTAATTTGTTTATGGACAAGTGTCTGTCTGCAAATGAATCTGCAAAATTGTTTGCAGTTTTTTTAGAGGACAAAGTGCTCTGTTATCCTGACCTCACTGCCAGTGATTTCCATTGTCTCTCTAAGCACCAGTGATCTGTTGTGACCTTAAGGTGCATTTATTGCATCTAAGTCTGCTAATGCCCTGCAAAAATAGCAGATTAAGCAGGGATTTTTGATGCAGCTTAGTGTGGTGTAACTAAAGAAATATTAAACACGGACAAGGAACGACATTGCTGTTTTACGTTGTGTCTTCCTTCATTTTCAGTTTTCTGCCAGTGGCCTGGGAATTTGAGGGTTATGTACAGTATCTTAGCTGTTCCTAACACTGCACTCTTCCAAACAAAGAACTCTAATATTGTTCCTGGGATCTATTGGAGCCACTCTTCCAGTTTAGGAGTCACAGCCTCAAGTGCTCCTACCTCACTGGGACCACTTTGGCTTTATGAGCCATGATGGCGTACTGGTTAGAATGCAGTACTGCAGGTTACTTCGACTGACTGCAAGCCACCAGCAGTTTGGCAGTTCGATTCTCACCACCTCAAGGTTGACCCAGCCTCCCATCCTTCCGAAGTTGATTAAATGGGGACCCAGATTATTGGGGGCAATATGATAACTCTGCAAAGCATTTAGAGTGGGCTGTAAAGCACTATAAAACGGTGTATAAGTCTAAGTGCTATTGCTATTTTTAGTTTTCATATCTTCACCAGTTCCTCCTTCAGGCCCTGGTACTTCTGCTTTTTATACTCCTTTCTAATGTTGCTGTCACTTGGCATATCTATCACCACAATCAAATATTTAATATTAAGAGCAAAATGCAATTTAGTCAGAAAAGGGCCTATGGAATTTAATGAATCTTTCTACCTAGGATTTTGAACAGGAGTAAAATAAAAATAAGTACCAGATATACTAGGAAAAGAATTAAAGCAGGAAGGAAATAATTATAATTTTGGTGAAAAGCAGAAGAGTAATACACTAGTAATACACTATAGGTCTGATTTGCAAAAGTAAAAAAAAAATATGAAACCTTTTTTAAAAATTATGCCTTATAAGATTTATTCTCATTTTTCTTTTATTACTACATATATTCAAAAAACAATTAAGTAGAAGTAGAAAAAAAGAGGCTGTAAAGAAATTAGAGCCAGTTTAGAGTAACGACTAAGGGACCAGACTAAAAACTGGGAGAGTTACTTTAGGTATAAAGCCAGCTGGGTGATCTTGGACCAGTCACTCCTCTAGGAAGGAGGCAAAGGATCTCCTGAACATCTGGACATTCTGGACTTCTGAACATCTTGCCAAGAAAACTGCAGGGAGAGTTTTCTATACCTAGAAAAGTGATTTACAAATGGCATAAAATGAAATAGAGCCAGTGTATGTTTAGCGACCACCACTGGGACTGGCAACTTGATTGTTAAGTGAAACAGCAATTATGCCTATGATCTTTGCTTCACAGACCTTCAAAGGCTGTAAATTTGAGGATTGTTCTTAAGTTACTTTAATCAATATTGTAACTGAAAACATCTAAATGAGGTAGTCGCTAAAGGAGAATCACTTATAATATATATTGCAGCATAAAGGTGATTGTGCATTGATTTAAGACCATTGTCAAAATAAAATCAATAATCAGTATTAGCCAAGATCACCAACATGCTCCTAGCAATTAATAGGACTTTCAGTCTTATCTGACAAAACCTGTCCTTATCACAAATCAGGCAAAATCTAGTATTTTAAAATCTTATGATCGGATAAGCTTTTGGACGTGGTTCAAGTCCATGGCAGTATTAAAGTACATAAATTATTTTCAGGTTCAATTAAATTCAGTGTCAGATTTTTTTTAAAAAAATACAAAATTGATTGTTTTTACATTGATACATATTCTCCTAGTTTAGTTCACTATTAAGAAGGAATTATGTGTAATTCTCAGAAACAAAGAAACTATCCTAGCAGCTGTTGTCATGGATAGCATCAGTTCTGTATATTTTGTAGGAAGGCATTTTTGAACATTAATTATCTATTTTGGTAATTAACATGAAGGTGAATTACTAATTTTAAAAAATGAAGAACTGGAATGTATCAATTTTCCCTAAGTATAATCCTTTTTTTCAAGAAATTATAAAAGAGCTTTTAAAAATTATTGATATTTAATCAACTGATCTATTGTCTTTTCTTTGAAGGAGACTTTACCCAGAGTATTTAAGTAATCAGATGTAAATTGTGGTACCAGCAACTAAGCTAAGTGGTGATTAAGTGGGAAATAATTTAACATTTCTGCTGGAAAAAGGCAAGACTGCAATACTCAGTTTCACACCTTTGGCTTTTGTTGACGTTCTTTTGTTAGCATTCTCTTGCCATTTTGAATGCTTGAATGCCTATTTCCTGCCTTGAATACATCAAAAGCAATGCAATCTTGCTGACAGACTATGACAAGGAACTATGGGCATAATAAGCAAACAGATTGTAATCACTCTCCAATTTCTCCAATCTAAGAGATGTAGAGAGAGAAAAAAGGCAAGTGATTTCTATGGGCAATCTCTCTTTGCCTTTCCCTCTGCCAATATAATCACATTGCTTTCAATGTGTAGAACAGCAAACATATTCTCTTGAAATCCCTTCCTCTCCACTCTCTCTGCTCTGCAAAGGGGAAAGGGTCAAGCAAAGGAATCATTGTGTTCAGAAATCACTTGATTGTTTAACTCCTTCCCCTGGCAAATACTTCAAGGGAATCCTTCTCAATCCCAGGCCGCCATTGCAAAGGTATTGCTTTTGATATGTAGCAACCAGCAAACAGCTTATTCTTTTGCTCTCAGTTAACAATGTAAATTGGGACCATGACATCATGTGAATATGCCACTTAGCAACAGCAGTTTCAGTACTACTTCTTCTTGTTGTTAAATGAATCTTACGATGTGAAGCGTGACATCAGCGTGAAGCTCCTATATTGAATTTTCTTGTTGGAAGCAAGCATTTAAGGTCACAAATGATGATCACATGACCACAAGATACTGTGATGTTGTAATTGCAAGCCAGTTGCCAAGCACCCAGAGCACAATCAAGTGACCCTGGGGATGCTGCAAAAGCAGGGAACTTCAACAATATCACACGTACCACTCATCCAACACATTGAACAAAATTTGAACAGCTGCTGAGTGAGTGATCATTAAGTGAAGACCACCTGCAATTGAATTTTGAGAGCATGTGATGAGTCCTCATCATATGTCTACCACTGGCATTTTCCCCCATGCCCTCAAAAGCTACACAACGGAAACAGCCAGTCACTGAACAGTTATTTTGATTAAATTAATTCCTACCACTGAATTTCACCCTTCTTTCAAAGTGGATTTTCACATTTCAGCTTCTCTTAGTCATTTTGTCTGGATAGATGAATTATTTTTGAAAAAGTACCTAACATTTTAACTTTCAAGATGTTCCTGGAAGTTAGTGCTTTGCTTAGCAATTTGGCAGGGCCCCATTTTTTATTAATTAAAAATTCTAAATGAATTCAAGTCATATTAGGCCAAAGATTGGCAGACCCTTTGATAACTAGTGGCTGCTTGGTCCTGGATTAGATAGTGCACAATTTTAGGATAATCACATGAGCAGAAGAAAATGTACAATGAGGAAAACATATTTCCTCACTAATGACATGCACAAAATGGTTGATACCTGTGTGTAACTTCTACAGTACCATGCAACACAATTCTGAATATTTTTTAAAAAGTGGCTCCTGCTCACTCATAATTGCATTGCAGTAATGGATTTGTATGCAACCTCAGACTTCATAAAACTGAGGGTGGGGGATATTGTAATTATGGTTATTGGAGGTGATGATACATGAAGAGCTTTGTTCCTACTGTTTCTGTATGGATTTTCTCCCTATAGTTTTTCTGATCTCAAACCAAAGAATGCTTAAACTACCATGAGCCAACAACATAAGATGCCAGACCTTATCATGAGTGACTAAATTAATACTTCCTTTTCTTCATTTGCCTAATCTTCTGTAATCTCTGCCTGTTAGTCATGGCCTCCTAAATGTTATGAGATGCGTCTCAGGCTGAAGATAGTTGATATTTAACAGTGATGTTTTCTATAATTATGAAATTGCACATGGCATCCTTTGCAAACTTCCCAAGCAGAATTCTTTGTCTCCTTTCTCCCTCTACAATATATTCTTTAATCCAGAGTTCCACCTTTTGGCTTTGCAGACTGGCATTGTGGGAGGGAGGGGAGGGATGGTTCCATGTGAGTGGTGAACAAGTGCACATGCGCAGTGCCATTTGCACGGGGAGTGGGTTGCTCAGCCACCATTTGTGCAAATGGAGTGTTCATGCTCCCTACTGCTCACAGAAGTGGGGATGCATGCACATGTTCGCCCATTTCACAATCTGGTTCCGAACGGTTCAAGGCCTGGAAGTGAGCCACAGACCGACAGTTGGGGCCTCTCTTTTAACCATCTTCCCTCAAGAATTAATCCTTTTTATTTCATTGTTCTCTTTTTACCTACAGTGAAAACCGTCGCCTGCAAGTAAACATCACCAACCCTGTCCAGTGCAGCATGCATGGGCGAAAATGCAGCATCTCAGTGAAAACCAAAATCAACCAATCAGAGCCAAACTTCATCAAGGATTGGACATGTTTCATCCTCTGGGTACCTGAGAATTAATTTTACTCTGTCACTAAGCATCCTTCCATAATCTACTGATGCCTTCAATCTTAGTGCCTTGAGTCTTATGGAGGAAGGGATATGAAAGTATTGATCTGTGACACTCATCTAGACATTGTTAATGAATTGAAAATTTGAAATGCTTCCTCCATTAAGCCAACTATGATTTTAAATTATTATGTACCAAAGTGGCTTTTATTAATGAATTCTCCAGATATATAAAATTATTGTAGAGCTAATAGTTGTGACTGAAATGGAAGGAACCAAAAAAATATGAGAATAAACAGAAGGACCCACTTTTCTATAAGAGAGTGATAAGAGGCTTCATCCCTTCAGTTCCTCCCTCCCTCCCTCCCTCCCTCCACCTCTCTCCACCTCCCTCCCTCCCTCCACTCCCCAACTCACTTCATAGGTTGTGGGGAAAATAGGAGAAGGGTTGGGATATGTTCACTGCTTTATTTGTAAAAATAATAAAGATGGGATACAAATAAAAAACATGGGTTCCCTGACCCCCTTTCCTTTCAATATTCAGCTTGGCTCAGATTCTCCTTAATGATTGATTGTAAGATTCTACTCCTATTGCAAGCATTGGAGTCCAAAGCTTGGGCCAATATATAATGTGCTTTCTTTGAGCAGCTGGCATTATTCTGGCCAGCTTAGACTTGTAGTTGCCTTTTGTTGCTTGTACAGCCCTCTGCTGAGGTGTAGCTATAGCCGTGTTAACAGGGCTTTGTTTCTTCTTGTGCCAAAAAAACGTATTTTATTTTACATTGATGGAGAGAACTTTAAAACAAGGGAGGAGATTGCTATTTTGAACCATTTAAAGATAAATAATTATAAACCTGACACTGCTGGACAGGTCAGGACTTAAATAATTATAACTGCACACAGCCTAAGAATAAAGCAGTGATGGTAGAGTTTATTGCTTCAGTATGCCTGCTTTTGTTTTCACTGTGTGAAGGCAGCACTTACCATTTCTGTGAGCTGGGGCACAAAATGGCAAACAAATGTTGCTTAATTAGCTAGCTAGAAGAAGTCCTGCTTGTTTCTGAGTCATTCTTAAATATGGCTCATTTCTTAAGTAGGATTATCTGCCTCTGCCCAAGATGAGTTGCTCTTCTTTTCAAATTAGCTTTTCAGTGAAAAGGATTGCTATCTTTGCCCCTTTCCTTTCCCTTTCTTTTCCCATTGATTAGTCCAATCTTCTAGTATCTCCAAGTGCTCTTAAAAAGGTTTCTTCAACCAAGTGCCTTCCAGGTAGAGAATCTCATTCTAAACCCTCAGATTCTAGGCCAGAAACCATCTGGCTGTAATTTAGGCAAAATGAAATGCAATGCAGATGGAATTTACAAGCAGAATAGAAGGAGTTGCCCTGGAAGATCAATGTAAATGTAGAAATCTCTTCATGTGTTCTCTTCTTCGTTTCCCCAAATGCCAGCACATCCATGATGAAAAGCAAGTGGTAGAGCCTAATCCTTCATTTCAACTAAAAAGCAAGCTAGCTTTTGATTAGTCCAGCTACCTAGACTGAGCATTTACAGTCCTATCTCTATTGCCAATAGAAAAATGGATTGCCTCAGATCCCTGGTGCCTTCAAACGTTTACTTTCAAAGCAGCCAAATTAGCCTCAGAAGTTTTAAAATTAGGACTTTTATTTAATATCCCAAAATAAAGGCTGGATTTGAATGATGACCAAATTATGAAAATTGTATGAAAGATGAAATATTTTCATACCAAGATATAAATCTATTAAGTTGATTATATGTGTTATGAAGTATTTTGATTTAAATGAATTAACAGTATTTCTGACTTTCTTGATTTGTGTGTATGGTTGTATGTGAGGCAGATACATTATTCTGTTTGATTTAACAAAGGTAGTTTCTGCTATCAAAACAGGAAGAGGAAATTCCTCCTCCTCACTGTGCTTTGCAGAGCACCCAGTCAGTAGGGGAGTATTGAGAACTGGGCAAGGGGCTCCAGAGAGAAGAAATTTTGAGTGTATGAGCTGCTCATATGATGCTGGATTCTACCTTACATGTGTATTTCTGGGTTTTATCTATAAAATAACTATTTCTAAATTGTGTGCCTGATCTTTTAAGAATGAGTTAATCATGTAATTAATATTTTAAAATAGTTTATACAGAAATGTGGACACAAATCCTATTCATAATTAAGATGTATTTTGTTTACATAATTGAAATAAATGGACTCTCATTTATACCCAACTCCATTGACTTGATTTTGATTCTGCATTTTCTGTAATGTATTTGACTGACACTCTTTTCAGAAAAAAAAGAAAGCAGTATCATAATTTCAACTAATCTGTCATTTTTGCTAACTGTGATAATAGACTTCTTCCCTATCACCTCCTGTATTACACGATCCATTATTTAAAAATATATAATCTCCTCATTTTATTGATGTTTAAATCACGAGATCTCCAGGCAGTTAGTTAAGATAAGTATCAATTTTGTGACTTGAGTGTGTATTCTTGTTTAAAATATAGCATCTGAGAGATCACATCTATGTATCAAAATAACTGACTCAGTTTTAAGATCACATTGGTTGAAACTTGTCATGTGTCAAGGTAAATTCAACTGTTTCCCCAAAGTTATCCCCCATTATTTACCACTGTTTTCATCTTCCCACCATAAGCAGAAACTTTTTAAAAAATCCTCTGAAAATCATTCGTGTCATGGATGGTCAGTGCATTTTATTTTTAATCAGCACAGTACAAAAATAAATAAAAATAGGGAGGCATTAAGTTACAGGCACACACAGCTCTTTGACAGTCTTGTCATATTTATAAACCTCATACTTAGAAACACACTATAGTACACATACATACAAAAACCATTTATAAATTAAGTAATAATAAGCAATAATACCAATTTTGGTCAACAAATATCTACAGAAGGGATTGCACACTAAAAAAAATATCCAAAAACTTTAACATACATAGACATATAGAATTTAGCAGTTCCTGTTTTCTTTTCTCCCATTTCAAAAATGTTAAAAAAAAATACGTTCAAGTGAAAAAAAAATGGCACACTATTTTCTTGTGTTTTTTTTCCTTTGAGAAAAATAGTTTAGAACAGAGCTAAACATTAAGAACTGTGTACAGTTAATATCAGAAAATACCTAGAAGTCTTGAGATGAAATACATTGATTTCAAAAAATGAAAGTATGGATGAAAGCAGTAGATCTGCTTGAAATTTGTGCATGGTGAGTTATTGTGTTTCTATTTTTTTTTCTTTTTACAATCAACTCTTCTAAAGTTTTGCCTGCTGTCAAAAGTCACAATGCTGCTTTTGGCATGCACAGTATTATTGTAAAGCAATAATGGAATGACAGAAAAGGATTAGGTTTTTCTTTTTCCTCTCGCCATAAGCATAGATTTTGTTCTAAAATGATTCATTTTATACAGCAGCATATTAAAGTCTCACTCATTGCTCTTTTTATCAAGTATGTCAGTTGACCTTTCCCCCCCACTGTACAACAGTAAATATATAGGTTCAAGCCAAGATAGTTTTGCACATCAATTATACCACCAAGTCACATTTGCTTTCCATGCAGTGCAATCTAAAGCACACCTACTCAGAAATAAGTCTGATTCCTTGAATGCACCTTATTTCCATGTAAACATGCAAAGGATTGCAGCTTTAAGCTTTCATATCCATATGCGTACAACTGTGATTTGCCTTTATTATATAGTTTTTATTAAGAAGGGGAGGAAGGGCAAAAAGATTTATTTTGAACAACCAGGGGATGTCTTCAAATACATTCCCAAATTTTGTCTGAGCCACTACTGTAAAGTATTCCAGAGCTCAGCCATAATGCTGAATGAAAAACAGGGGTCTCCAAGGGAGACTGATATGATGATAGATGCCACCCATTACAGAGAAGCAAATGGTTTACATGGAAGAAGGAGAGGAGCCCTCCCTTCCTCTTTGATGCTAAGGCTCAGATTTCCTTTACAAACTCAGCAGCAAGCTTAACAGTATCTCACTGCTTAATGGCTCAGATTTTGGCCTAGCTTTTGAGGCAGTGGCAAGACCTGCTGAACAAACCCAGCAGCTGCTTAATCATCACAACATATGCATTTGATTCCAGTCTACTGAAGCCTCTTAGCTTTGGCCTTTTCAGATTTCACAGCTTTTAATGTTCCTCTGTATTTTTAATAGTGCTTTGCTGTTTTTTTTAATTAATCGCAAGCTCCCCTATTTAAAAACATATACTCCAATATAGCCCTCCCTCTGCCTTTCTGCTAGAATGCCAGCATCCTCAGCACTAGTATTAGAAGAACTTTCTAGAATATTTCTAACTTATCCTTTTATCCACAGCCTTCTTTACCCCAGAGTATTATTGCCTTTATACTATTTAACTGTCCAGCTTGTGAGAGCTTAAAACAATGAAGGAGATTACCTCCATTCAAAAAGTTCACATCTTCCACAGAACCCTAGATCTGGACTATTGACATTTAATACGTATTATTAGTAACCTAGGGAAATTCAGTCTCCCCACTATCCTTTCTTTTTATATACTTTTGACTATCCCTGAAGATTAGAGTATTTTAACCTTTACATATTGTTTAGGAACTAGAAAACTAAACAAAATAAATATCTAAGCATCAAAATTTAACATTAATCAAATATTTTAGATGTTCACTATGGGGAAAAATATTTAAATTCTTAGATGTTCACATATAATTGTAAGTCTACAAGGTGGAAGAGAATGTCTCCAAGCGTGGGAACAGATTTGTGGCCCTTCTGCAATATTACTCTACAAAATATACAAAATATCTGAATATTTTGTATCTGCTGCAGGTTTAGATTACAATTTATACACTCAACAGTCCTCAGCACTATAATAGAAGGGAAACCTTTTATTATCGTTTAATCTCCTTATTGTGGTCTCCTTATTGTGGCTGTTGCTATTTTTCATAAAGTATGAAGAATTTTGGTTGGCTAAATGCACATGAACTGTACTGTTCTGGCTGGGGCTGCAAGGAACCCCTTAAAAGTAAAGCATTTCTACACTGAAATTCAGCACCATTTCCTACATTTAGTAACATAACCTAGCATTTTTCAATAACTGAATTGGGGAACTTTATTGCAGATGCTCAGAAAAATCTCAAGGGACTGAAAATCAGCCTGTTTGGAACAGCAAAGTTATATTATGCAAACATCACATCCCCCCCCCAAAAAAAGAATTAACCATTTTTGACCAGTCAAATATTAACATATATCACTTGTCACAAATCAATGCTAGCTAGTACCTATTGCCTGGGATTATTTTGAAATCTCACCTCCAAACTCATATTGTGGCTTATATCTACCTTAGCAAGAAAAGATTGTCAAGTCTCATCTTCACCTTTTGATACTGATATTTAGAGAAAACCTATGGAGCCTAGATGAAAAGGCCTCCAATGAAATGGATGCAGGTGGCGATATCATACACAAAATGAGCTGTGTCTCTTGTATATTTTCTGACTTTTCCTTACCCACTTCTGTTTCTCAATATAATCACACTGTCGTGGAGTAAGAGTCCCTTTTGCAGGCCAGTACTGAGGTGATGTCATCTTGTTGAAACTGGTATACAAAGTAATACAAATTACTATTTTTAAAAATCCATTCTTGGATCCCTTTTCTAGAATACCAGGTGCTAGAACATCTACTAGATTTGGTCTTTTATCTTCTTAAGAATTGTAAATATGTTCCTCCACTGCCTTCCACTGTGAAGAAGTAAATCCTGCAAGCTAATTCACCCCAATTCGCGAAGTGTTTAGGACAAACAAAAGGTGAAAGGATGCCATGATCCTGTATCGTGGTACTTGCTTCTCCACTCTATTTTGCCCTCTCCTGGTTTACAATCTGAAAAAGAAGACATATCCATCACATGCAGCAAAACTGAAAACCAAACAGGCAAACCCACTTCATTTCTTGTCAGTTTTGATTGATAGAAGCCAAGATAATAATGGTACAGACCAGCGGTAGGTGGCTGATTTCTTTCAGGCCTGTCCAGTCTCATCTATGTGCCCTGGCTTATATGGAAAAGAAACTTAACATAAAAACAAGATTAAATAAAAGGGTGAATGATGGGAAATTTTAGCTCACCGATCCAGGCCAATGAGCAGCCTGTTCTTCTCTTCTTGGCTGCTCTCATTCTTCAGGTCAGCAAAGACCTGAGTGAAATAGTGAGGGTCAGCATTGATTTGCAACATTTTGGGACTCATGAGGTTGATGATGGAGAGGCAACGATCCCAAAATGCCTCTTTACAGCTCTCCACTAAGAAGGGCTTGAGAGGATAGGAAATCTCATTGCCCATATAAGAATAGGAGAGATAGAGGCAGGTAAGTAAGACAGCCTGAAGATCATGGTCCGTGGCTACTTCAGACGAAATGACATCCCGGCAAAGCATGTACAAAAAGACCACATTGGCTGGAGTTATGAAGCCTTGGTCTTGCCAACCTTGCAGGAGGAGAGATCGGTCCACACTTCTAAGCCACAATACTGGGTCGGTGGGGGAAAGGTGCTTCAGCCTGTAGCAGCGTCTACAAAGGAATGCCCCCAAGCATCTTAGCAGCTCACTGGTTGAGGCTTGGACAAGGACCCTTTTGGGGGTGCCAGATGAGTTGCAGCTGGGGTGGGGGCAGTTCTTGACAGAAGAAAGGATGCCCTTGGAGCTGGAAATCTGGTGGCTTGGAACTGTAGGCTGATTGCCCTGGTTCTGAGCAAAGGTGGAGAGATTGGCACAGGAGAGAGATTTCTTGAGGTTCTCATTGTTGAGGTATGTTATGTTGTTTTCATAACTGCTATTGGGCTGCAGCTTCTTGGAGTTTTTCTTTTTGGCAGATACAGCTGCGATGCGTTTCCAAGGGAGCACTGAAATGATAGAGTGGCGCTTCAGGCTCTTATCCTTGGCATTCTTACTGTTCTGGACTGCAGTATAATGCCCCACTGTGGTTGAACCATCCTCAGAGAGGTTGGCTTTCCGGTAACTGGGTGAAAGGCTCAAGACAGTGCCCATGGTGTACAGGCAACGGGGAGCAGAGCAAGGTGGACAGAGCTGGGTGCTGTCACCACCAGGGCAAAGGGGTCTCTGCTTCAACCCTGCTGGATCTCTTTTCCGTCAAATAGCTTGGATTCAGAAGTTACCTGCCAAAGGCAAAAACAATTCAAATAAGCCCAGGCTGGGATTGTTTTCTCCCAGATATACAGCCCCCTACTTTTTAGTAATACTAACCCCATTCAGTTATATTCATTACTAAGAGCATTATTATGTTTATTATTACTTTTCTCCATTTCTCCCTTCCAAATTAAACTATTCTGGGGGAGGGGGGAACATACCTGATTTGGACACATGCAAAGACTGCTCTGCAAAATGGGACCTTGAATTTCAAGCCCAAAGTCTTGTAGGAATGTATCTCTGATGTTCACACACACACACACACACACACACACACACCAAAGACTTGCTGATTTCCTTTTCTATAAATGGCCTACATACTACTACGCCATGAAAGCTTAAGGAAAAAGCTGGTATCTTTAGAGAGGAAGGCTACGGAAATACCCTTGCTCCCATATTATGCTAGCAAGTGTATATGGGTGTATAAAATGTGTCAGAGATGCTTTGAAGAGAGGGAGCCATATTAGTTGGCTGCAGCAAAACAAAGAATCTACTAGCACCTTGCGGAATAATTGATTTATCATGGAAGATGTCGGATGCTTCTCCATCTCTCTGAAATAAAAGGTCTCTTTCAGTCCATATGCATGTAAAGACAGAGGGAGAGAAATATCAGTCTTGCATGTTTTTAATTAAACGCCCACCATGCATATTTCCCCCCACTCCTGCCTGCCTACCAAACAGCTAGAAACAGTAGTACCTTTAAGAGGATAAATATTTCTCTTTCATCAAATCGCCTTTCTTCTCCATCCAAGCTTTGCTTTTTTTTCCGGGCGCGCGCGCGCGAGAGAGATATCGCTGGGCTCCCGCACGTCCTCCCTCCCGCCGCAATGTTGCTGCATTCCCCCCGCCTCCCCCTCCTCAAAGGACGCGATGGCGTCTGTCCTCCTCCTCCTCCGTTCCCCTTCGTGCCGCGGTGTCTCTGGTACCCACCGCACTGCGCGCCCACCGGGCACCGTGGTTTCTGTCCAGGGTCCTGCAGGACCGGCTCGGCTCTGGGGGCTGCGGGGAGGCGGCAGAGGGGCGGATGCGAGACCGTCCAGCTTCCCCTACCGGGCTCCGCCGAGTCAAACGAGGAGATGCATGCAGACGTTCGTCCGGTGCTGCAGAGGCACACGGAGGGCGCCTGCCTGTCTGCCGGCCCGAGCGCCGACCCCAATGCCGCCCCCTGGACTGGCCAGCCGCTCCCTCCCGAGAACGGTGCCGCAGCCCCGACCGGCTGGAGAGCAGCCTCCCTCGGCACCGCCTCAGCTGCTTTGCCGGCTGATTCACCGCGCTCCGACCAGACGGCGCTCGCTAAGCCCGCCTAGCTCCGCCTCCGCCTCCGCCTCCGCCTCTCACTCCTCATCTCACCGTAGCCGCAGCGTGCCTGCAAAGCAGGGCGACCCCCGGCGGACACCGACACAGCGCGGCAAAATGGCACCGAGGCTCCCGGATTGCGCCCTCTGGCCCCCCGCCTCCCGCCCGCCACCGAACACTGTCGGTGCGCGCCTCTGCGCGGATGCAGAGCGAAACGCCGGATTGGTGGCCTAGAGGCAGCCGGTTCCTTCTATGGGAGCATATTTTTTTCTCCACTGAAAGGATTCTCTGTAAACTCTAATGCTTCAACCAGCAAACCAAACCAGGGCTCCTTTTGCACACCGCATCGCGTGTCCTTTATCAAGCCAGAGTGAATTGAACCCCGGGGCTGTTGTCCTGAATGTTGTGCATCCACTACATCGTGGTATTTTCTTCTGCTCATAATTTCTAAGCAATAATGGAGGGACTTCTACTTCAATCTTTGCAGACAAATTACACTGTGACCCAGAACTTATGCAAAGAATAAATAACTGTCACCTGAGCAACTATTTTCAGGAGCAGAATTCTCAAATTCATAACAAAATGGAGTGCCTTGACAAGCTCTAAAAATCCCCCTAGTTCTTCCTTGGAGGTTTAACCTTCAGAGAACTATTGCCATTTCATCCTTCCACCATAAAGCTTTGGGGAAGATCCCTGGAGAGTTAAATAATTCATTTTAATTAAAATCAACAATGGAATGTTCAATACCAAATAATTATCCCAGATAGAAAAATATGTTCAAGATTTTTATGCTTTTTTAAAAAATGGCAACCACTGTTGCCTGCATGGGAGCCAGCATGGGAGAGTCTCAGGCTTCTAGGCCACTCCCCCACAGCCACAGAAGCCCTCTGAATGGCCTTTGGCCCAGTCTCAGCCCAACCTGCTTCACAAAGTTGTTGTGGAGAAAAATGGTTTAAGGGATAGAAGGATGTCCAGGGTTTTTTGCGCTCCTCTAAGAATGAGAAGTATATATTAATTGTAGGAAGTTAGCACCCAGCCCTCTCCTAGAAAAATGAAATATCCTGGGAAATATTGAAAAGGCAGAATATTATATTTCCCTGGATCAGAAATGGAGAAACATGTTTTTTTAAGCAGGAAACAGACTCACTCTTAATAGCCCCCTACCTTTATCAATGAGCCATTAGGGGCCCTGTGCTAGTCTGCTCTACATAACCAAGATAGGATTAGCCTTCTGCAGAAACTCACCACAGGGCACCTGGGAAAAAGCAATGCTCAACCAAACTCGGACTCAAAGCACAACCTAAAGACTTGCCCCTGCATGGCCTCATCGGAGTCTGACAACCAAACCGAACACAAGATCAAGATCAAAGGCCAGAAAGGGCATAAAGCCAGGAACTTTCAGCATCTCGCTTTTTTTCTTCTTCTTCGCCCAACATCTGAAAGCATGTGATCCCTCTTTTCTGTTCAGGAGCTCAAGCCATGTGATCCTGTCCACCATTAAACCGTCTTCCCAAGCAGCCTCCATGTTTCCAGTGTCTTTTTCCCCACTTAGAGCTGAACCCAGAAGGACATTTCTTCCAACACAATAAAAAAACACCAATGTTAATAAAATTGGACTGTAGCAGCGTTCCGAAGAGTATATCTAGAGTATATCTCACCTCAATCTCACAAAGACAGAGGATGTAATTGCTGTCAAACCAGTCAGTCCTCAGCTAACTAGCCTGGGCTCAACCCTGGACCAACTGCTAAGAGCTATTCAGAATGCTGAATCTCTTCAACATCATTCCAAAACTTTAGTTCAAAAACAGCTGATGTCACAAAGAAAAAAAATCTTCAAAGCGAGGAGGCTATGGCCACTGGGACAAAGACCACTGTCACTGGGCTACTTCTTCCTCTTCTAAGCATCCAACCTTGGTTGCCCACTTTTAAGCCTTGTACCATGTACTGATTTAAAAGGTGGGGGTGGGGGAATAAGCAAAAACCTTGCCAAGAAAACGGGGGTGGGGGCTATTGTTGCCTTTGAGTTGTTTTGTTGACACCAGCAACTGTTTGGACTAGCCCCTGAAGTTTTCTTAACTAGGTTTAAGGGAAGTGCTAAGTGACCTGCCCAAGCTCTATGTCCAAGAGGGATTAGAACTCAGAGTTCTCCTGAAAATGGCAAGAATGATTAACCTTGCAGATCATGTTAAACAATAGCTAGCTTTAAATCTTTCATTAAATATAATATGATTGTGTGTGTGCAGCATGTTAATCTATAAACCATGGTTTATAACCACAATGTTTAGAAATACACAGGATATGCTTCACTCTACACAACATACTAAGTCACGAAGAGGCCAGGGCTGTAGCATAATTTGTGAAGGTTAACACAATTACCACATGCAGTAACTCATGCACTTACAGTTCTATGTACTTGGTCATCGAATATTACTATTTTTAAATACTGTAATCACAGTAAAGGGATGCTGCAGCCATTGCCTCGGTCATTTCACGAATGAATGCAGGACTGTTGTTTTCTTGCTCAAAACCGAAGGGACCTGTCCTTACAGAAATGTTTGGGTGGTCTCAAAAATTTTTAGTGGTCTCAAAAATCTTAACAAGGTTCCAACAATGTTAAAGGTGCAGGGAGGGCATTCCTTTGAGATTTGTGGCACTGGTCAGTTCTAAACAAAAATAAATAAATATTTTCAGGTCAAAAAGATACACCGTAAAATGAAGGTCACAATATAGTGTAAAGTACATGATGAAAATGTGGGGGAAATGTATTTTTTTTCTTGAACAAAACTGCACAGTGTGCATTATAGCTGAATCTTGCTTTTGAAACATTAAATGTTCCTAAATAGTCAAGTTTACACTGAATATTAATTTCAGCCACAATAATGATTGAGGCTTCAGGTCTAAAGTAGGCCATTTTAGCATTTCTTTAGCATTTTTTTTCTCTGCCTTCTTCAACTCCATCCCAGCTCTGGCTACATAGTCCAGAGCTGGTTCTCCAAAACATTTTGGCCAGTGGACACATCTGGAATATTAAAAACATCCTTGTAAGATGGTTGCCATGGCAGGGGGAGTGCGGCCAACACAAAATCTCAGTTATACCAGAGATCAAATACAGCTCTAGGCTGCAGCCACCCACTATTTTTCTTTTATAAAAATGCCTCTGCAATCTATATTCCCAGTGGCATATTTGAAAGTATGATTTATGCTTGAATATGTTTTATAGCATACTGACTTCCTATTTAATCAAAATAACCCAGGAAAACAATTAAGTAGGGTAAAGATCTTGATGTGCCAAGGACCAAAAACTTGTCAGCAGGTAATCTGATACCTGGACTCCATTTCAGGATCCTTGTGTCCAATAGGACCAAAGAAAAATATCTTACAGCCACTTGCCCCTTTTTTCAAATGATACGCTAGATCTTTGTCTTGCATCTCATTTAATTTTGGAACTCTCCCTCCCCCGCTGAAACCTATTTTTGTACACAAAAATGAGAACTAGTGAGAAGTTGAGAGGCTGAATAGTGAGATATTTAAACTCTAAAAAAAGCTATACTAAGGCATGGTTATTTTAATCATTATTTGTTGACAAAGACACAATTGGTTGCATGTGTTAATGTTTATGAATATACAAACAAGTAGGGCCTGAAACCCTATTTAGCCATGCTTTTAATGAAGGTATTGAAATCACCAGGGTTTACATTAATAGTAATTTAACCTTTTGATTTTAATAAATCTACTGTATGCATAGTTATGTTAAAACGTAACACTGTTTTGTACCTGTCAGTTATATATGCAATACATGAATAATATCTAGCTTTTTCAGGTTTCTAGTCAAAGAATAAAATTGTTCTTCCTCTCTAGTTTGACATGAAATGTTAGCTATCTGAGTGCTAACTGATCATGTTGTTAACCTTTATGAGTAAAATAGCAGCAACACACAAGAAAACAGCTTATGCCATGGTAAATCTGTTTAGTTTTAGAAATGCCAAAGAATACTATGTTGTTTAGTCTGCAAATAGTGCCACTGCGTGACCAAAAATTGTATTACACCTCTTGTGATACCAAGTAAAAAGGAATTGTTCAAATATTGCTAGTTGCAAAGCATTTGGCAGGGCAACCTTTCCCCTTGCATAATAGAAAACACCAGACAGGCTGTATTCACCAAAAGCTAAGTCCTAGAACTGCATTAGCAAAATATTTGTTTAACTAACATTCATGCTAGCAGATCTGGGTTGAAATACCACGAAAAACACAAGTTGACAACACAAATTAACTTCATTGGTTGCTTTGCTGCCATCCAATTCTGCAGAACAGTTTAGCATACCATGCTATGCCCGAACATAAACCATTTCTTAACATGAAGACCAGTTCCATACAACATGATAAAATAATAGCTAAATTCCCTTTATATGCCCACCAGCAAAATAAAATTCATTTTAAAGTGAATAAAGTTCATTCAGCCTAAAGTAGGTTGGTGTTTAGCAATTTAGACAAGGAGTGCCATTTTTCTTTTGTAAAAACACAGCCTTTTGGAAAGGCATAAAAACATGGCTTTGTGGCCTTGCTTGGGACACAGAGAAGAGCATGAAGCCATGAGGTTGAGTAGCACCCTAAAAGCTCTCCTGTCTTTTAATTAATTTACAACATTCTTTGCCTCTTTTAAATTTTATATGCTGTTTCTATGCTTTTTTATATTTTATTGTCCACCATAAGTACCTCTGCGAAAGAGGTGGGTAGTTCTTAAGCATGATAAATAAAATAGATGCAAAATAAAATAACTTCGTATAAATAGCATACTCCCCCATTTTTTGTATTCTTATCAATACTTTCAAAATTAATCAAATATGCTATTTACTGAATTTTGCTGTCATTTATTCACTTTTCAGGTGGCTTCCAAAGATTTAATGAGAAATCAGTGAACATTTCTAAACCAGAAACATTTTACTACAGCTCTTCCCAAAATAGCACCTT